TACATAGTGAGTTACAGGACGGCTGGGGCTACAGGGAGACCCTGTCTCAAAAAAAAAAAAATTAAATAAATAAATAAATAAAAATAAAAAAAGACTTTATGAATGTTTTGCCTGCATGTATGTAAGTGCATCACATACATGTAGTGTCCTGGGGGGACTGAAGAGGGCGTTGGATCCCTTAGAAGTCAAGTTAAAAACTCTTGTAAGCTACCATGTGAATGTTGGGAACCAAGCACAGGTCCTCTGCAAGAGCAGCAAGTGCTTGTAACCACCGAACCATTTCTCTAGCCTTCCTTCCCTCCATTTAAAGTTGATATATAAAGTTTGAAAATAAAGCACTAATCTTAAGAAAAAAAAATTATGCACATGTGTAATTTATGTACATGTGTGTGTATGTGTATCTACACTTAGGGATTGAACTTGGGGTATTGTGCAAGCACATCCTATACCACTGGCTACACCTCAGCCCCAAACATTGTTCTGAATTGTACAGTCAAGTATATGTAACTACCACACATGGATATGCAGAACACAGCCATCACCTTCAAAAAGTCCCTCCTGCCCTGTGCAATCAGTTATCAGTTGTGACCATTACTACGTAACGTCTCCCACCATCACTTAGCCTTGCTTGCTTTTGAACTTTGAGTATCTGGAATCATTCAGTATGCACCCTGGGATGCTGGGAGCTAGCTCTTTAAAGTCACAATGTTGGGCCTGAGGAGATGGCTCAGTAGTTAAAGCAGGGTCATGCAAGTATAAGGACAGCAGTTTAGATCCCCAGAACCCCGTAAATGGGTAGGCGTGGCAACCCAAAATTCCTGCCTTGGAAAGTGGAGACAGGAGATCCCAAGATCAAGCTGGCTGGCAAGGATAGCCATATTGGTGAGCTCTGGCTTTCACTGAGAGACCCTACCTCTATGAATGAGGTGGGAGAGCAATTGGGGATGATTCCTGACCTCACCCTTGGTCTTCCACAGGTGCGTACACCAACCCACATATATACCCATACAGGTTCATCTGCACACATGACAATATGCATACACCTGCACATCACATGTACACATAACATTTTTAAGTGATAATGTCTATAAAATTCTTCCATGTGTGCCAGGCATCAGCAGTACCCTCCTTTGCTGCTCCTATGACATTCCATTCTTTAAGTATGCTACAATTTATTTGTCTATTGATCTTTTGAAGGATGTTTGGGTCATTTATAGCTTTTAGTCATTAAGAATATAAGCTTTTATGAAAGCTGCTATTTTAAAAAAGATTTGTTTTATTTCTATTTATATATGTATCTGTGTCTGTGTATTTGTATGTACATGTGTGTGTGAGTGCTCAAGGAGGCCAGAAAAGGGAGTTAGATCCCCTGGAACTGGAGTTAATAGGTGGTTATAAGCTACCCAATCCCCTGGAGCTACAGGTATAGACACACCTGACTTGATACTAGGAACTGAACTTAG